GGGGTTTGAAAGTACTGCAAATGCATTAGGCTTATTAAATGAAAACACAGCTTCTTCTAATCTTCCCAAAGTCTGGAAGCCTCTGAGAGGAGAATCTGAAACGATATAGCCCTCTGGCCTTCTCTGAGAACACAAATCAATTTGGTTTTACCAGGAGAGAAGAGATAGAACCCAACATTTCAAAATCTTTCAGTCAAAAAGAGAAAATAAGATGACAGGACCCTTTCAATCCTCATACAGCTTTTCCATTTATGGCTGGGCAGAAAGCAATTCCAAAACGAATGCTCACTTTCAGGGCTTGGCAATATTAGCATATATGCTACACTAACACATACCTGAAATCCCATTTCTTTCCCAGCAATGGTTTTTTAAAAACAGTAGTAACAATAAAGTTTATCTAAAGTGTACTCTAAAATGTTGCATTTTATTTCCTTATGTTTCAACATAATGTGATTTACAGAAGCTCAATCTTTTTTTTTTGTATTTCTGAGAATGTATCTCACAGAATTCTTTCTCCCTAAACCAGATTATATAGTAACAATGAGTTTGAAAATTAGATAGTCTAAAAATATATCACAAGTTCTATGCTCAAAAAAATAAAAAAGGGTTATTTTAAGATGGTTACAGTACAGAGACTTTAAAGCCCTAACATAGAAATGGTAATATAGATGTCCCTTCTTGAAGAATTGCAGATTTGCAGCCAGACAAACTTGGATTTGAATATGAACGTTGCAAATTACTTGCTGTGGGACTTCTAAGGATAGAATAAACCTTTTTTGCCCTTTGTTTCTTCATCTGCAGGATAAAAATAGCATCAAGAGGTAAACTAAGTGAAAGCTATATGAGTTATCCTATAATCTGCCAAGAGTATGCTCTCAGTAACATTTTTTGCTTCCTTTCCCTACTCATCTCTAGTCCTGTTCTCTACTGCAATTTAAAAGACATTAACACAATCATCACAAGGGGATTTAGAAAACCAGAAGGGGTGTTGACCATTCTAGAAATTTAGAATAAGAAAACACAAAAGCCACCCAAGTTTTCTGACTTCCCTGGATCACCGAATGCAATGTTCTAAGTCAAGAATGGTACTGTGTGAACTAACTGCAGGGAAAATCTGAAGGATGGAGGGGGATATCGAACTGGCTACCATGTCTGTTCTTTCAAAGAACATTTAGTGAAAAAGGACTAAATAAATGTATTCACTTCCATAAATTCACAAATTGTTTTTCTTCATGAAGCAGGGCACTTTGCACCACCCATATTATAAAAATGGGGGAATGAAGACACTGAAGTATTGCAATTATCTTAAATAAAGCCAACAATAAGTCACTCAGGAATATCATTCTAACATGTGCAGATATTATGGATGCTAGTCAAAGCAAAAGTTGCTAATGCCGCTAACTTAGTTTGCTTTTGGTCCCCTATGAGAATTCATCCAGACTGCAGATGGTAGGCCAGCCAGAAGTACAGTGAACTAGATAGCAACTTGTATTCACCAGTCCTGGCAGGACTGGTCCTGGGACCAGGCACACCTAGCTTCCTCACCTCCTTCCTTCACCCGCAGCCCTCCCCTTCTCCACTTTACTCCTCTGAAATTACTATATCTAGATCTTTATTCTTTCTGCTGAATCCGGTAAGACAGAATTCGTTTACACTTTAGTATAATGGGACTTGATTATTCTGCTTGTACTAAAAAAGGAGGATTATGAATGTCTGGAATTGAAAGAAAGAAAGAAAAGGCACAGAAATTAGAGTCTTTGGGCAACACAGACTTTACCTCTTTAAAAGACATGATTATTCTGACTAGGATTAGAGTTAATTATAATAATTTGATCTAATCATGTACCTTTACCCCTCTTTCTCTAAGCACTTATTTCATAATTATGTTTGTCAAGTTGTTATGGGTAATGACCCTATTTTACCATTGGAGGAAGAACTGAGACCAAAACAAAACAAATGTTGAGTGAAGTTGGCCTTGTCAGAAATTGAGTACATGATTTCTGATATGGACAGTATTTACAAAATTGAAATTAGAAAAGGAGAGGGCCCATTCATTGGTCTCCTTTGGGGGAGCAGGGGAGAACTGGGGTTTGAACTCAGGGCTTTGTGCTTGAAAGGAAAGCGCTCTACCACTTGAGCCATGCCTTCAACTCCTTTTATGGGTCTCTTTGTGGTTGCTGTTTTCAATGCATCTAAACTCATGGACTGGGATGATAAACGGGAATAAAGTAAATCAATGAAAATGGCTGAAATGATGGGTTTAAGCATTCAGTTTGGTATCCTCATTACCCAAATCTATATAAATCGAGGTGGCCTCCGGTGGCTGCGTGAGCTGCTGAGCAATGTTCTCTTTTATTTAAAGACAGACACATTTGAATATCTGTGGACAAAATGCATTTTGGCTGACAACATCTATATATCAAATCAAAGGAAACCTTTTTTTAAGCCTAAGATTTAATAAAAGTTCATTTTAAAAATCAGTAAAATGCATGGCACTGGACATTTAGAGAAAAATTACAAGCATATTAAGATCTATGCAATACGTAGTAATGTCAATAAAAAAAGGCACCAAATTAAAAAAACTACTCAAACTACTCATGAAGCAAGATTGTACTTGTGTAAGGGAAAAGGACAAAGAGCTGCAGCTGGAGAGATTTACCCTGTGGTTTAGCATCTTGTCAGCAGTCCCCAACATAAGGGATGGCTCAGACAAGGCAGTTTCATCCTCCCTGGGTCAATCTTCCTGAATATCCTATTCCTCAGATCATCTTCCCCTTCTCATCCCTGACTCTGGGAAAGCTTTAGATTCTTTAGTCTTTAATTGGAAAGGCAAAACATGAGTTAGTTTTGCTCAGGGTTTTTAAAACTTGCTATCTCTATTACAAAGAAAACTTTGATACACATTTCTCCCTGCAGCCACCCTTAGGGGAGTTCTACAGGTGCAGTAGAGATGGAGAGGCATCTTTTCAAATCCTCTCATTATTTATGTGCTAAACTGATGTTTATTTTTTTAATTCCTTAATACATTAGTTTATAGATCATAATACACTGGAATGTTTGGGTTGGTTTTTGTTGTTATTTTTGTAGCATCTGAATTAACAGAAGGCATTGAGATACACAGAGAAATTGATAATGAAACTGTCATATGGATTAAGGAACTAAGGAGAAAATAAGAGCCAAAAGACAAATTCATGACTGTATACATTGAAAGCTAAGCATGTGCAGACTTAAAAACAAGGATTATACATCAGTCTTAAAATAAAACGTTCTTCCTATATTATTGTAAGTTTTGAGGTAAGTCTACACTTAAGAGTTCTCTGCAGAATGTTCCCTTTGCTTTATCTAGACAGAATTTTAGCACTTCTCAGTGTATACACGCACATACTCAGACTCAAATGATGGTTTATTAACTACGGATGGGTCCTGGCATCCTAGAACTTCCCAGGTGATAGTTCAGTATATTTTTTACTAATCCTTTAAAGGAGAACACTGGCACGAATAACAAATCTGACGCTTCCTAATATATACATGCTACTTTCATGACAGTACCACAGACAGGCATGTGCGCTTTCATACAACAGGCTGGGGCTTGGAAATGTGCACACAGATCAAAGCAGATAAATATCATGCATAGGAGGAATCCAAAAATATAAAGTTGGGCTGGCTGTGGGGGTGCACACCTATAGTCCCAGCTTCTCACAAGAAGGAGGTAGGAGGATCATGGTTCAAGACCAGGTAAGACCCTATCTAAAAACAAACTGAAAAAGCAAAAGACTGGGGGTGTGGCTTAAGGGCCCTGAGAATGGTGGATGCCAGAGGCTGTGAGATGGGGTAAGAGAAAGGGCAATGAGATGTCAATCAAGGAGTACAAACTTTCAGTTATAAAAAGAGTAAGTTCTGGGGATCTCATGTGGTGACTACAGTTAATACCACTACTGTGTACTTGAAATTTGCTAAGAAGTTGATCCTAAGGATTCTCACCAAAACTGACAAAAAAAAAAGGTAATTATATGAGGGGGTAGATGTGTTAATTAACTTAATTGTGGTAATCATTTATATATATATAAATGTGTATATGATATAAATATACATAAATGATATATATATCATTTATATATATATAAATGTGTGTGTATATATATATATATATATATATATATATATATACACACACACATATTCAGCAAATTGTACCCTTTAAATATATACAGGGTTTTTGGTTTTTTTAAGTTTTAGTAGGATTTATTTCAGTATAACAGGATAAGGTATAGCCCAGGGGGGTGTGGGGGGGGAGTGAAAAAGAAAGAGAAACATTTCCTGTTCCCTATGCAGGAAATGAGAGCAAAGACTCATATACACAATTTTATTTGTTAATTATATCTCAAGAAAGTTGAAAAGAATATCCTACAGAAAAACAATATACATGGAGTAGCACAGGTTCAATTCTAGACAAAGTACTGACAATGACAGAAAAGCAGTTATTTTCAGTAAACAAGGGAAGAAATGTAATCTGTAGTATGGGTAAAAGGATAAAAAACTCCTTTAAAAATTACATATGACTCCTATTTTTCAAGGGGCCAATATATTATCTTTCAAACTTAAATTTTCCAAAAAGCTATCCTGTAATTTCCTATCAAAACAAGATGTGGATATTTGCCACATTTTATCTCCTCTGATTTTGTACATGAATAATAATGATGACAATAATAACTGGATAGTGACATTCAAAAACAACAATTGTTTTTCAGAGTTGAGAAAGATGAAGGGGTGTTAGAGGCAAAGAGGTCTTGTACCTAAACAGAACAGAAACTTACAAGTCTTTTAAGACACTCCATTCTTTGCCTAATCTGCTCTCGAAAAGCACAGGCTGAATGGAAAGATGCAGCCTGTGTGCCAGTTCAGAGCTAGAATGACACGTCTGGGGAACTGGAGATGCCAGCTCCCATTATCCATTGATCACCTTGGCAATTCTTATTTCATCCTGAGAATGTGATACTTACTCTTGTACTGCTCTGGCTATGGAAAGGGCCGTAGATCCAGTTTCATTAACGCTATCTAAGGTCACATTTGGCAGGTCATCATCGTCACTGTCACTTTTACTTTGTCTGGGAGATAGGCCTCGGGGGTCCATTTGTGCTGGGAAAAAAAGGCATATATAATGAATTAAAATTAGTGTGCAGAAGTTAACCTTGTCCTGGACCAACAGCAAGCACAGAATATCTCTTCTGTGCATATTACACAAGCGGGATTCTCTAGTCGTTACAGGAATTAGTGAATACTATGTATTTTATGTGCTGATGACTTACTGATGCTTTTTCCCTTGTTCATTTGATTCACAAAACCTACATCAGCTCCCAAGAGTTTCAGGTATGATTATAGAATAGAAACTATAAAATCTACAATATTACCAGCTGTTGGGTGAACAAAAACTGATTATGTAGCTGAGGTCTATCCTCTGCCTTCTCCTACTTGCTTCTGCTGCCAGAAGTCTGGCCAGGTCACCATTCATTAGCACTTTCCCTGGATAGTAGAGAGCATGCAATAGAGGAGATATGTTTGTGTAATGCTCTCATAATAAGTTAAAAAAAACAAGGTTGGCATGACTTAAGTAAAGTTTTAGATATTTTTTATACTTCTGTGAACTGTTGTCTCACAGTTCATCACTTGTGAGTAGAGATCTGAGCACATAAAAATGGCAGAGGTGGCAGCCATTCTGAGATCTGTTTATATGTGCTAGAAAGTGGGATTCATTTCCATCCTCACTGCATTTTTTAAAAGCATTTCCAGATAGGATTCTCCTCCAACTGTGAACATCCAGAGAAAGAAACTGACGTTCCGACCTGGTTGACCTGGATTGTCAGAACCTTTCGACGAGAGGTTGACTGTCAATGTGTGATATGTTAACACATATTTCCCTAAAGTTACATTTCATTTCTGCCTCCTGTTCTCTATGAACAGCATTAGCAACCACTCTCTAGAATTTCCATCAGCCCTTGCCTCCAGCATGAAATAAGCACCTTTTTTAATTGAAAGAACTACACCAGCTACACAGCTGCATTGTAAAAATATATGACTCCAACCCACCCAGATCCACCCAAGATTGCTGAAAGGTGACTGTATGTAAAGCCACCCCTACTTGCAAAGGAAAAGCAAAATGTACTTCAAATCATGGTTACAATGACATTTGGATATACTCAGGACAAAGATACCTTTCTTTTGTCTTACTTTTTTTTTATTATGGTGTATTACATAGAACCACATGGAAATGCTGACATTTCTCCATTTTTTTTAACAACAGGAAATTGCTTGTGATTGCACACAATATTTTTAATATGGCTGGAAAAACTCTACCTAGAGAGCTTCCACGAATTTCCAACTGCAGTTGGGATCAAGGAACTGGTATCTGTTGAACCTAGCGTGTGCTACTGCATTTGACACACATTGTGCCTGTAAATACATATAAATAAAACAAAATGCATTTTGCACAGTGGAAGAACGTGGTAAACATTGGTTGAATTAATTCAATTGTTGTATATGGTTAGCAGTAGTCTAACCAAGTAGAAATTCACCCCTCAAAAGATTTTGGCAGTAGCTGGGGACATTTCTGTTTGTAAAATCTTGGCAGAGGTAGGGGACACTGCTGTCATCTAGTGGACAAGAAGTTAAGGACACTGCTACATGTTGTATAGTACTCAAGACAGCCAGTCCTCCAACAGAGGATTCACCACTCTAAAATATCAATAGTAATTAGTTTGAAAAACTAACCTAGAGATTAAAGAGTTTGGACGTATCAAGACATTATGCTTTATGACATACAGTTGTGTAATTATGTCTTAGTTTCAAAGTCACTAATAAAGAAATTCAGTCACACATTGGATCATCCATATTTTCTGGCCTTGTCCTCAAATAAGACAATTCACTGTCATGTGACTCCACATACAACTTCCTCAAACACAGCATTCTTCCTCGAATGCTAGAATTATGAAATAACATTCACTAAGCACTTTTGAGTGTTCACTTTGTAGCACACATTGTGGGACCAAAAGACTGTTTATTTTCTATCCAGTCTCTAGAGAAGATGCTTCAGAAGAGGGATGTTGAAGAAACTGTGCAGGGCAAAGCAAACATTTCCACCACCAACTGATAACACAGAGCGTAACCATCCAGCCATTTGAATGACACCAAAGGCACCATACCATTTAGGACTTATTCTGACAACAGGCCAACAGAAGCTGCATCAGTCTGTCTCATATTACAGGGACAACATAGTCTTGGGTCACTTAACAACACAGATTCTGGGAAATGTGTTGTTAGTTGACTTCTTCCTTGTGCAAACATTATAGAGGATACTTACATGAACCAAAGACAGCTACAAAGGTGGTCTAGGTGTAATATTGGGGACCACCATTGTACATGTCTGTTTTTTACTGAAACTGAAACACTGTTAAGCAATGCCTGACTACACTAGAAAGACATCAAGTAGCTTCTAAAACAGAAGGTGACAAATAACCAGTCCTGGACTTGGGGGAGACACAGGCATTTCATAGTTTCTTTCTGGGCAATCTTGTTCTAGAATGATTCATTTAACAGCTGTTCATAACTATTCAAAGCCAGCCAAAAAATGAATACCAAATCTATCCAGGCTTCCAAATTCCATATTGTGTGGTGTCACAGAAACTTGTAAATGTCAACAATGCAACATTTACAATTGTTGAAACATCATGCATTAAGACATCTTTAGGAAGGTATCAAATCAGCCAATAGCCACAGAAATGAGAATATTTCAATGGTCTCTTTTTGTCTAAGACAACTGGGGTTCGCAAACATTTGTAACACAATGCAAGAAGATCCAGGCAGTTAACCAAGAAGCAATCTGTCTCTGAAAGTTCAATGCTAACATTTCAAATGACTTGTGTGAGAGTTGTTACACGATCGTCTAAATTATGTTATGTTTATATATAAATGAAAGCATACAATATGTTAAATAAGATATCCTTTCTGATGTACTTTTTAGGAGTATCATAATTGAAGATTTCCTTCCAATATTTTCAATAAATATTATGAAATACATCTGCTACTATCATGCTAGGAAACTCTTTTTAACCATACCTTCAGCCAAGCTGAGGAAGTAATTAGAAAGGCTTTTTAAAATTTGCATTGCTGATTAGGTCAGATGATTTGCTTATCTACATACTTGCATAATTCCACTCTATTTTTAATAAAAGTGGAATAGGGACATCTACCCTAGTTAACCTCCATTAGTCTTTGCATATCTAAGCCCATTTAGAAAGGACTAACTCTCTGGGGAACTCATTTAGAGACAACATAAGTTATCTGGGCAACAAGAACATACATACATACATATTCATAAGTGTGTGTGTATATATATATACACACATATATATTTCCCCTATAAACACCTGGAAAGAATTTACCTTTGAGATTTTATTTCTCTGAAATGAAAAAGGTATCAGGCATTTTGGGGAAATCCAGTTCCCTAGAGTTGAGGTGTTCTGTAACACTGTATGACTTTCATTCCATGTGACAAAATTCCGGGAAGTTAACTGGACCTACGTATTTTCAAATGCCTATCTATGATAGATTGTTACTACTAAGACCCTCCAATACAGTACTCTCCCTGTAACCACTTTTCACAATTACTGGGCTTGACTCTATAACTTTATGTGGTCATTGGACCAGTAGTAAAGGTGACCCAAGAAGACGCTTTAAAAGCACTTGTGCATTGGTTTTCCCCTGTCTTGCTGGTTTTTAGAAGCTGCCACCATGTGAAGAAGCCTGGGATGGCCTGCAAAAAACACGGTACTCTGCTGGCAGCCATGTAAGTGAGCTACATTCCAATAACCAGATGACTAGAGCCATATGTGGGGCCCTTGGTGAAACCAGCATGAAGACTGCCTGGCAAACCATCCCCAACTTTTGACCCACAGAACTGTGAGCAAATAAAACAGTTGCTATATTGATCTACTAAATTTGGGGGTGATTTCTTAGGCAGTAGTACACAACCTTACTGCCTAACATCATTCCAGAGATTTCCTAGAAAAATTACTGCTGAAATCAAGAGTCAGTCTACCCTACTCTTATCTACTCTCCTGCCAAGTGCAACCTTGCCTTTAGTGACTAAAGCTTAAGTGGGATACTAAAAAATAATAGTAACACACCACACTCCACATTACCTACTTTTCAATTCAGAATATGCACAGTATATTTGCAGGTGTTTTGACATTGGAAGAGGCTACTTCTCTTCTCCTGTACTCAAACAGGAGTCTTTTATTCTCAGGGGCCGTCAGGTTGATGTTCCTGCTCAAACTAACCAAGCTTTACCATACCTTCTCTCTAGCTCATACCTGACAAGAAGCATATCTGGGTGGATCCTCCCAGGAATGTAGTCAACCAAAACTATACATCCTAGGTTTGGTTCTTCTCAACTCACACAACAACTGAAGTGTACACAACACATTGAAACTTTACTTTTCTTTCTCATGTCACAGTGGGCTAACACACACATGACACAAAGGAGATTGTCAACACCTCTTCCCATAGCCAGGAACTGTCAAAAGATTAAACACTCTTCTATCTTTTGTAGAAACAGTAAGTCCATTCAGCTACTCAGAGTAAAGGAAGTTTTTCCATAAGATACTGTATTAGATATGTATAACACAGCCATCCACAAACATGTCTTACAAATTATGGACTAACATTTCCTAACAAGGATGAGGAGTTGGGGATGTGACTCAGTACTAAGGCTCACGCACAAGGGCCTGTGTTTGATCCCTAGGACTGCAACACACACATATGGAATGAATCCCAGAAGGAAGCACTGAATCCCTTCCTCCCCACCCAACAGGGTCGGAAGGCTGAGAGGCACCCACAGATGGAAGGGGTATAAGGCAGCTGGGCAGAGCCACAGTACTGCTGTTGGGCTGTCTTTTTCCCCCCTCTTTCAGCTACTCACAGGCTGCCTGGTACCTCCAGATGTCCTACTTGTTTGCCTTGCCAAGGCTGAAACATGTCCCAGTTAGAGAAAACTTGGCTTGCAGAAGAGCTGCTGCTTTCCACTAGAAATAAGGGCAGTGGAGGAAGGAGGAAGAGAAAGGAAAATGAATGTTTTTGTTGTC